CCCTCGTCCTTCTCTTCATTAATAATAAAGTTGGAAGGGACCTTGGAGGTCATCTAGTCCATCCCCCTGCTCAGGCAGGAAACCCTATACCATTTCGGACAAATGGCCATCCAGTCTCTTCTTAAAAACTTCCAGTGTTGGAGCATTCACCACTTCTGGAGGCAGGTTGTTCCACTGGCTAATTGTTGTCACTGTCAGGAAGTTTCTCTTTAGTTCTAGGTTGCTTCTCTCCTTGGTTAGTTTCCATAGATACATACTTGGCTAGAAAAGATGTTGGGAGAACATGTAGACTTTAAACCTGAACTTTTTTTATTAGGCATAATACCAGAAAAGACTAATAATAATAATAATAATAATAATAATAATAATAATAATAATAATAATAATAATACCGTTGGAAGGGACCTTGGAGGTCATCTAGTCCAACCCCCTACTCAGGCAGGAAACCCTATACCATTTCAGACAAATGGCTGTCCAGCCTCTTCTTAAAAACTTCCAGTGTCGGAGCATTCACCGCTTCTGGAGGCAGGTAGTTCCACTGGTTAATTGTTGTCACTGTCAGGAAGTTTCTCCTTAGTTCCAGGTTGCTTCTCTCCTTGGTGAGTTTCCATCCGTTGCTTCTTCTTTTTTTTTTTTTTACAATTTTTTAATTAATTTTTCAAATAAACATATGAACAAATAATACAAATATGGTGCATTTCATTAGAAAAACAAACACATAAAAAGCCTACTCAGTAAGTATTCAGAAATAATCGGCGCCCCCCCCCCCGCATCCCCACTCCCTCAACCTTCCTACCTAACTTCCCTCTTCCTTCCTACCCCTCTTAACCACAACCTCTCCTCTTTCCTCCTTCCCAACTATCCTACACATCCCATCACCTTCTTTTCCACCACCTCGGATGCAGTTTAGGGGTACTAGCCGATCATCTCCTCTTCTTAAAGACAAACATTTACATTATATTTATAAATACACCACATTTTATATAATTCTACCCCTCCATCCGTCGCTTCTTGTCCTGCCTTCAGGCGCTTTGGAGAAGAGCTTGACTCCCTCTTCTTTGGGGCAGCCCCTGAGATATTGGAAGGCTGCTATCATGTCCCCGCTCGTCCTTCTCTTCATTAAATGAGACATACTCAATTCCAGCAACTGTTCCTTGTATGTTTTAGCCTCCAGTCCCCTAATCATCTCTGTTGCTCTTCTCTGTACTCTTTCTAGAGCAGTGGTTCTCAACCTGTGGGTCGGGACCCCATTTGGGGTCGATCGACCATTTCACGGGGGTCGCCAAGCAAGGCTGTCCGCCATTTTTTTTTGTCTGCCATTTTTCCCCCTTTTCCGGCGGGTGCCTTACCTCCCTTGGGCTGGGCCAGCTGGTGGTCGGCCTGCTCTGTCTCTGCCGCTTGCCAGCTACGCCTCGGCTGGCGCAGGGGGCGGAACCGCGCATGCGCGGCGCTCCCGGGCAGGGAAAGTCCTCGACTTACGACCGGCTGGGTAGTCCTCGACTTACGACCGGTTTAGTCCTCCACTTACGACCGGTTTAGTCCTCCACTTACGACCGGTTTAGTCCTCCACTTACGACCGGTTGGGGTCGCGGCATTAAAAAGGTTGAGAACTGCTGTTCTAGAGTCTTCTCCTTCTCTTTGCCAGGAAGGGATGATCTTACTATTTTTTAACTAAGTTGAGTTTCAAGCCAACTTTTGCCCTCTGCTCTTTCGGAGAGGTGGCTAAAAAGTGGCTTTGGCTGTTCTCCCCTGGTAACTGGGTGGCCAGCCTTGCCATCATCCACTTCCGCCTTAGCTTTGCGCTTGCCACGCAAGACCTGTGTAGACGCTTCTTCTTCCTAAGGATCCTCCAGGGAGCAAAAACTGCCAAATGCAGCTTGCCCTTTGGAACTGCTGGGAGAACGGTTGTTGAGACATTTATTAAGGACAAGGTCTCCCTGTCGAACCGATTTTGGCGACCAACGACGACGACGACGTCTGGCCCAGAAGCAAAGAAGGCGAGTGGGGCAAGGCATCCTCTCGATCGTAAGGTCTCTGCCCTAATAATGCGATTTCTTTACCTGTTGAACCAGCTAAAACAATAAGCATAAATAAATTTATCTATTTGAATAAGGTTTATTAATTGTTTGTAATATGGCTATAGTTAAGCTTATTTTAAAAATGGTTGAGTATGATGTTTACTCATTATTATGATCCGGACAGTAGCTTGTTTGTTAAAATGTGTGATTGTACCTATCCTTATTTTATCCTAAATCCCCTATTCCCTTCCCCCCCATCCCCTTCCCTTACCATACCCGTATTGTTCCTATTTTTTCCTTATGTATATAAATAAAATATTGTTAAAAAAAAAGAAATGGACAACTTGGGAAGTGTTCGTCGTTGAGCCCTGGGTGGGTGGCCAATTTGCAAATTGCCGGACAGAACATCTATTTATACACAGAGGGATACATAGTAATAATAATAATAATAATAATAATAATAATAATATTAATAATAATAATAATAATAATAATAATAATAATAATAATAATAATAGTAATAGTAAAGTTGGAAGGGACCTTGGAGGTCATTTAGTCCAACCCCCTGCTCAGGCAGGAAACCCTACACCATTTCGGACAAATGGCTGTCCAGTCTCTTCTTAAAAACCTCCAGTGTTGGAGCATTCAGAGCTTCTGGAGGCAGGTGGTTCCACTGGTTAATTGTTCTCACTGTCAGGAAGTTTCTCCTTAGTTCCAGGTTGCTTCTCTCCTTGATCAGTTTCCATCCGTTGCTTCTTGTCCTGCCTTCGGGCACTTTGGAGAATAGCTTGACTCCCTCTTCTTTGGGGCAGCCCCTGAGATACTGGAACACTGCTACATTTCTTTTCTTTCATTTTCGTTCTACACAATTTGTTCTCCACAAAATGTCTCGTTTAGTGAAAAGAAGGCCCAGGGGTGACACGAGAACAGTCTTCCCATATTTGAGGGGTTGCCCCGAAGAAGAAGGGGGTCAAGCTATTCTCCAAAGCACCGGAAGGCAGGACAAGAAGCAACGGGATGGAAGCTGATTAAGGAGAGAAGAATGAAGCGAGAACAATTAATCGGTGGAATGGCTTCCCTCCAGAAGTTGTGGGCACTCCATCACTGGAAGTTTTTAAGAAGAGACTGGACAGCCATTGGTGCAGAATGCTATAGGATCTCCTGCTTGAGCAGGGGGTGGACTAGAAGACCTCCAAGGTCCCTTCCAGCTCTGTTACTCCACAAGGGTCTCCTGCATGACTAGAAGACCTCCAAGGTCCCTTCCAGCTCTGTTCTTCTGCAAGTGTCTCTTGCTTGAGGAGGAGGTTGGACTAGATGACCTCCAAGGTCATTTCCAGTTCTGTTATCCTGTTGTTCTCTCTGGGCCACTCTGCTGTCTGTACTTGGGGCCCTCAGGCACTTAAATCATTTACAATTTCCCACCTAAGCCCTTAAATTGTCTCTTGCTCAACTCCCCCTGCTATTTGTCCCAAGGGAGTGACACCACCCCACCCCCCCAGTCAGTCCCTCCCAGGTGGATTAGTTAGGAAGTATTCTGATGCCGGGAAAGGTGAAGGACATCTAATTTGCGGGGCGGCTGCTTTAAAGGGAAGGGGGTCCCTGTCTGAACAGGAGGTGACACAGGGCTGAAAACAGCCCCCCCCTCCTCCTCCTCCTCCTCCACCTTTTGGTAATCTGATCTGCTTTGAGTTAGTACCTCTCCAGTCATTTGCTTCAACTTTGGCTGTCGACTAATCTTGGACGAAGGCCGGGCGAGAGCAGCCGGCGTTTTTTGTCTGGCCAAGAGGGGGCTTAGGTGTTCTGGGTGTGGGTGGCCGCCTCTATTAAGCCATGCCTGACCGGCTTCCTTCTTCCTCTTCTGCTGCAGGACTTTCCAGAGAGCGCCTGGCTGGAGACGGCGGCGCGAAGCTCAGCCCAGCACCCAAGGAGCACCACGCGAAGGGAGGAGTCTGCAGCCAGCCAGAAAGCCCTCGACCGGTTTGTCCTGCGGTGCTCCTGAGCAGCTGGAGCGAAACAGTTGAAAGCCATCCAGGGCTCCAAGGAAAGTGGCTGGAAGTTCTTACTTATTTACAAATCCATTTTTTAAGTCGCTAGAGGCGAGAGGAGCCCACGCACCGTGGGAAGAAGGACGTGGCCCTCCGTCGAGGACTTTGTTCTGAAGCAGCGGCCAGGTCAGGACGGTCTGGCACGAAGGGAGGCTTTGGACGTACGGCCACCGTGGACTCTGCTGGGAAGAGGATGCAGCCGTGGGCAGATCGCCCAGGCCCTGCCGTGGGCTCCTGGTCTGGCAGCGGGGCCGTGGACCACTGCTAGGAGGGTGCCAGCCGTTCGGAGGGATCTGCCCCCAGGCGCTGAAGTCCTGTTTTAGGGAGCAGAGAAGACTCCTCTGGGATTGAGATTGCAGTCGGAAGCATAAAGTCACCTCTCTCCATAAGTCAACTCCTGTTCCTGCTTCACCGGGAACGATTGGGAGGCTGATCAAAAGAGGCCAAGAGACACAAGGCTGAGTTTGGTTGCTTGCGGGGGCCGGGCCGAGGATTAAACCCGCCACCAAAGAATGAAGGATTTATGCTTCCCCGTTTCCCTCCGTCGGAAGTCGCTGCTGCGTTTGGGGGTAGCAGCAGCCCTCCCTACTTCAGCTGGAGCCCCTCGCCCTGCCTGAGTGGTGGGCAGCAGCCAAAGTGTCCCCCCCCCTCAGCCTCCCAGGGACCCTTCTGGGCCGCTTCCCGAATCCTTCTTTTCGCGGGTGCCCGTTTCCGTCGGGAAGGTTGGCACCACCTGTAGAGAGAGGCTCACCTGACTTGATTTAAAAACCAGATTTCGTCCACATTGGTGAAGATGCCCAGTCAGCAGCCCGGGTGTCGCCGTCTTCTTGCCGAGCTCCTCTGAAGACTTCCCGCCCCTTCCCCGGCCTGCCCCAGCCCATCATTCCCAAATGCTTTTAACGGCGCATCGCAGGTGAGCCTCTGCGGTCGGCCGGGCATGGCGGACCACCTGGAGCTGCTGGCTGAGATGCCAGCGGTTGCCCGGATGGGCACCCAGGAACGGCTCAAGCACGCCCAGAAACGCCGCACCCAGCAGCTGAAGAAGTGGGCCCAGCTTGAGAAGGACGGGCAGGGCAAGAAGGCCAAAGGGGGGGAGAAGAAGAGGCGGAGGGCCGCCAAGGAGACCAGGGTGGTCTTCCCTGAAAACGTCCAGCTTCTGGAGGCCGCCGGCCGCAACGATGTGGAGGAAGGTAGGTGTGTGTGTGTGTATGTGGGGGGGTGGAAACGGGCCTTTTTTTTTTTTGCAAGGGTGTTGAGACAAGATTGTTCCAAGGGTATCCCGAAATTTGTGCACCAGACAAAGTCGCCTTTTGGCCCGGTGGATGCATTTGGAAGGAACAAATATTCTCCTTTATCGATGTCTGCTGCAAGCTCTGTATGGCAGGGGTAGTCAACCTTGGCTCTTTTATGACTCGTGGACTTCAATTCCCAGAATTCCTGAGCCAGCTTTGCTGCATAATGGGCAGAGGAAGAACAGTAGTAACAGAATAGCAGAGTCGGAAGGGACCTTGGAGGTCATCTAGTCCAGCCCCCAGGGCTCAAGCAGGAGACCCTATACCAGGGGTAGGCAACCTTGGCTCTTTTATGACCAGTGAACTTCAACTCCCAGAATTCCTGAGCCAGCATGGGGGAAACTTTGGCCCCCTGATGACTCGTGGACTTCAACTCCCAGAATTCCTGAGCCAGCATGGGGGAACTATGGCCTCCTTGATGACTGGTGGACTTCAACTCCCAGAATTCCTGAGCCAGCATGGGGGAAACTATGGCCCCCTCATGACTCGTGGACTTCAACTCCCAGAATTCCTCAGCCAG